ACAACCTTAATCTACATTTTAATCAAAATAAGCATATCAACTATTGAAACTTTAAAAAGAGCCATTTTTAAAAATGAAAATATTAAATATTGAATTTTTGAAATGCAAAAACAGGAACAAACTCTCGGGGATTGTCAGGATGTGCAGCAGAACTGCTGGCATAGACCTACAGAACCTCACTGACCTACACAAGGTGAGGTCAGTGAACAAGACCAGGCTGATTCTGGCAGATCCTGATCATCCACCCCATAGTGAGTTCAGGTTGCTTCCATCTAGACGCAGGTATCTCCTGCCCAGATGTAGCACAAACAGACTGAAAACTCATCCATCCCTATAGCGATCAGGCTTCTCTATGAACAATGATGATTTCTGTTATTTTAATGTCTTAATGTCTTGTCTAATATGGATGTTTCGTGTGTCTACTGACTGTGAAACACAATGCAACTTGAGGATAATAAATATTCTTGAACTTGAACTTGAAACTAGGAAAATGTGAAAAAATAGAGCAATTTGAATTTTATGAACGCAGTGCCTCCCATAAAATGTGCTGCAGTAGCTCGGTGATCGGCGGCGCGGTTTTGAAATCCTGAGGCTGTGGGTTCGAGCCTAGTTTGTGTCAGGAGGAGCATTTGGCATAAAACAAGTGAGACAAAGTAAAGATGCATCCATGCAAGATGAAAACGGTCCAACTTCCATAAAGATTAGCATTTATCCTGAGGCTTTACAGAAGGGAGCTTCCTTTAGAAAGGTTGAGCACAAAGCAGAATTTGACTTGCAATTTCTGTGAAACTAGGTAGTCTCTTAAATTAATTTGCTTTGCAACATAAATTATACGTAAATCTTCAAACTAATTATTTTCAAGACTTTATAGGACTGGAAAATGTCAAAAAGTACCTTTGAATGATTCTCGACCGCCTCGCTGTATGATCAGTAAATGGCAAGGTGGGGCTTCTTTGGTGCATTTGTTGTGGCACTTCAGCCTAAATGCAAATAAAATACAGAAAAGTTCTTGTCTCATGTTTATTCACGCAAAGCTATGCAGTAAAAGCATAAACAGAAAAATACAGACATGATATGAAAATTGTTAATTTATTAAAATTAGAAAAACAAATAGTTAAACCTTAAAATGATTAAAGACGCATATATAAATGTATAAGGGCGATGGCAAACTTTAACAAAATTATGAGCACTTCAGTGAATATGTGGAATCAGACCTTGTTCACTACAGCTGTGATGAACAGTAAGACAGAACACGATACGTACTTGCAGTTTTTACATTTTAGTCCAAACAACATTCCCTTTCCACATACTATGCATGTCTGGGACATCCAGTATTTGGTGGAAAACCTGCAGGAAGAAAACAAAATTTGAAAAACAAACAAAAAAAAAAAGTTTGATTTTGTTGCACATCTTTTTCTATCATGAGTTGTGGATCAACACTGAGAACATTCTCCTTTTACAATCCTAATTAGTCTCTTTTGGAGCGACGGGTTCTGCAGCACGTAGCACTCCCTGCGTACACTGTTTGCAAGTATAGACACCCAAAGCAGCCGATATTCTGAAGGTGTTTACCATCATAATCCTGCTCACCTTCCGATGCAATGTGGGCCCATTCCATTTTCCATTACTACAGGCATCTTGCTCCATCAATCTACAGCTCGAGTGAGGCCATAAAGGTTTATATCAATACAACAAGCACTCTGCATGACTGAGGGACTCGATGCATGTGCTGTGGTGGGTCCAACACAGTCACCTCTCGTACAATGAAATCCACACTGCTCTGCATCAACAACCATTTGCAGTCTGACGGAGCGGTTCAAACACATTTGGGACAATTGGCAGTATTTACTGATGTGACTCTGGATGCCAGCCGTGTGACTGGCTACTTAATGACAGGTGACTAATGTAGTTTGACAGAATCAGAATATATTACCCACACCACCACAACCAGGAGTCACAACTCACACTGACTAATTAACTTTGACCGAATCATTATGAATTATGTTGAAGGCTAAACTTGTGCCCTGCCACTGAAGGTAAAAGTGTTGAATATGTTTTTGCATGTGTCTGATGCATTTTCTATACCTTTAGCAACATATCTCACAAATCAATGTATGGATTAAAAAAAAAAAAAAAACTTTCAGAAAATAATCAATGAATGTGTTTCAACTCATTCAAATCTGGAATCCAATCAACTGAAGATGTACTGACCTTAAGAACACACAACTTGCTATAAGCGAATTTCACAGATACTAAAATTCACAACCCAACTGAGTGTGTATCTGATAAACACCTGGATCTAAACACCTGTGTGAGCATGCTTGTCACTATAAGATTTCTCCATAAAAATGTTCAATAGTGGATGTGGGGACCCGTCCCCACAAGACACGATGGCAACACAGGGAAGACCGGAGCCACAGACACACAGCGGCCCCCAAGCCCGGAACTCCGGGAGTCCCCCAACAGGGACACCCGCACCCTCCAGAGGGAGAAGCAAAGGGAAGCCCCGGACAATCCCCAACAACCACAATGCAGAATCCCCAGGAGGCTGTAGTGACGAGTCCACAGGCCCGGCTGGCAACCCGCCCCTCCAGAATGGATCCGGCCATGGACACCGAGGTCATACCATCCCCCAACAGAGGCCCGACAGAGCCAGGGCACCCAGGCCCCGGCAGGCAGCCACCAGGGCGGGCCCGCACACACCCCACCACCCAGCCCCAGCAGAGCCACCAATGCACTGGCGGCAGGGGGGGGCCACCACCAGAGGGGAGCACGACACACCAAATAGGGGGCCAAAACTGATCCAAGAGAGGGGACCACCTAAAACCCAACCTGAGACATAAACAGGCACACAGAGACAGCCCGACAGCCTCTGTCAGGCCGTCCATGCGCCCCACCCACCCAACAGCGGCCGACAGCGACCGGGCCGGTCAAAAAAAAAAAAACCATAAGATGGTCTTAATCTAAAACTTTGACAATAATATTTCTTCAAATATACTAGGCTTTTAATCTGTCAGCACGATGGGCTGATGATGGGGCTGCTTTATTAAATTCATGTTTTTCAACACAAAAAAAATTGTTTTTTATAACTCATCCAATTTCTGGATGATGAATTTGCACTTTTGAAGTACTTAAAACTAATTTGATTTCACTTATACTTGCAAATTTAGAGTCAAGGATGGTGGGAAAAAAGTTACGGAATGGAAATTATTTTTAATTGGTTGGATATATTTTTCACAGAATGTATTAGAGTGTGCACAAAGGCAAAACACTCCACAGACGGTATGTTCCTTCAGACCTACCTGTGTTTTATTGAGTTTCCCAGATCTCTTCGGGGAATCTGCGGGGACCAGCGAGGCACTGAAAGAGTGTCTAGAGGAAAAAAAAAAAACAGAAAATAGAAGTAATGTCTTCCTTTTTTCTCCTGTTAAAGGCTAGCGCTGACAGAACATGTATCAGAATTGATTAAATGTCTTGCATATAGTGTTCATTTTTTATGCATGGCATTTCAGGGAACAGACTGATTTTTATAGCAACTTTTTATTCTCAGGATTAATCAGCAGTTTAACTGAACTTCTGTCAAGTTACTAAAATGTTGGTAATAGTGAAGCTTTAATTGTTTAAAGTGGTAATTAGGAAGGTTTGTATTTGACTGTTAGATTTATATGAAGTCACTAATATTAAGCTACATCATAATATGTTTATGCATTCATGTCCACATCTTCTTCATAAAGTATGCAGTAGTCCCTCGTTTATTGTGAGGGGTTTCCGTTCTTAGTGCCCCCGAGATAAGTGAAAAACCATGATGTAGGAATAGTAGTGCAAGTAGTAGTTTATTTTAGTGTATGTGTGTGTGTATATATATATATATATATTATTTTTTAACCCTTCCTACACTTGCAATATTCTAAAGAATGTTTCTAAACTCTAAACGCTTTAAAAGAGCACAGCATGTCATGATCTCTGCTCTCTCTGCCTCTGACTGCTCTCTGCCACCTGCCAGTGCTCTCGGCCACGCCCACTTCTCCACTGCAGAGCAGAGATCATGACATGCCGCAGGACGGAGCTTCTCCCTGCACATGTGGGCTGCACTCGTATACAGCAGGCGCTAAATAATTTTATTTGTTGTTTTTTTTAATGAAAAATTCCATACGATCATGCAGCTTGAGCCGGAAAAGGGTGGAGTGCCCTCTCTGGGTCAGGGAGGAGGTCCTGACCCAAGTGGAGGAGTTCAAGTATCTTGGGGTCTTGTTCACGAATGAGGGAAAAATGGAGCGAGAGATTGACAGGCGGATAGGTGCAGCATCTGCAGTGAAGCGGGCGTTGTACCGGTCTGTCGTGGTGAAGAGAGAGCTGAGTCAAAAGGCGAAGCTCTCAATTTACCGGTCGATCTACGTTCCTACCCTCATCTATGGTCATGAGCTTTGGGTTGTGACCGAAAGAATGAAATCTCGGATACAAGTGGCTGAAATTAGTTTTCTCCGCAGGGTGTCTGGGCTCTCCCTTAGAGACAGGGTGAGAAGCTCGATCATCCGGGAGGGACTCAGAGTAGAGCCGCTGCTTCTCCACGTTGAGAGGAGCCAGTTGAGGTGGCTCGGGCATCTGTTTAGGATGCCTCCTGGACGCCTCCCTGGTGAGTTGTTCCGGGCACGTCCCACCGGGAGGAGACCCAGAGGAAGACCCAGGACACGCTGGAGGGACTAGGTTTCTCGGCTGGCCTGGGAGCGCCTTGGGATTCCCCCGGAGGAGCTGGCCCAAGTGACTGGGGAGAGGGAAGTCTGGGCCTCCTTATTTAGGCTGCTACCCCCGCGACCCGACCCCGGATAAGCGGAAGAAAATGGATGGAAGGATGAATGGATAGATGGATGAAAAATCCCATACGATCATGCAGCTCATCCATCAATCAGCCAATTGTACTTTGAAAAAACGTGAAAGAGCAAGTCCGCGAAAGTCGAAACGCAAAGTAGCGAGGGAATTAAACTGACTGGTTACGTAAAACACTTCAATGCAAAATGTTATACACTATAAGAGTATAAATTTACAATAAGCCCAATGTTTGGAATCAATCTTCTTTTTTTTTGCTCCATATTCACATCATATATGATTATGAAATGAATAGGATTAACTTTGAGCAAAAAAGGGTGAAACTTTAATTTTAATAAAAGGCACAAACAGCAAAATAATTTTCACAAACTTGTTAATTTATCTATTAACTGATTTTTTTCCCAGCTTTCCTTCCTGCTACGATTGTGATCGGTCATACAATGCCTTATTTCACACATATGTTTTTCATTTCCAGTTAAACTAGCAGCACAATGAGATAATAAAAATGAGTTGTTAACACATGAACATGTTCAGACAATTGGTGTGTCCGTCTCGATGTTTGCATCGTCGTTTCAAGGATTGTGATTTATTTGGGTTGCATAAAACTATAATAACATATTCTTAAGAAGATGAAACGGTGAATGTTGAAAGTACATGTTTTAATCAAACACCAAGAGAGGAGATCTGTCATGTTGGTGATAAACCTGGTCTGGTTCATCATCGTCCAGGAAGTGGAACACAGAATCATGATATTGAGACACTGATGATGTTAGAACAGAGTATATTAAAAACAGCATTAATATATGTGGATATATTGAAATTTTGACTATCTTTAATAGATAGGTTGATGAGGAGTATTTTACCATTTTAGGAAATCAAAACACTACAAAAATCCCAGAAAAGGAAAAGACGCCGTTAGTGATGGTTGAGCCAGAACATATGGCAACATATTCAGCAGAATTTGTAAAATTAATTTTTTTTTTTTTTGAAAAATCTATAGGGAATTTGTCTTTTCGGACAAGAATTGTGTCAAGCAACATAAATAAACTCCAAGGCATTTTATCAAAATATTAACTAACTATCATTAATTATACGCTACATATAATAGATCTCCACCCTTTATCTTCATGTTTTCTCAGCATTAGATGATCTTAGTTTACAACTCTGGCATGAAAAACATCAGGCAATGTGCATTGCTTCAAGGAATGCTAGGCCTTTAATCACCGTGGCAAATTTAAAAACCAATATTTTTGTCCCTGTTCAGCTAACGTCCTAAGTGATTCCATTTTGAACCATTTGACATTTAAGCGATCTTTTCTTGTTGTGTGTTCGTAATGAACACCTACGGATATTGAATCAAAGAGAATGAAAGGGGAAAATAACACCAAACAAGCTCTGAAAATATTTAAATCAGTGCAAAAGATTATGGGATGCAAACAGACAATGAAAGCATGCTCTCTGCATGGTGCCCTCTCATAAGTGTTAGGGACGCAAACAAAGCAAAATCCTTTTTGTAACAAAATCAGTGTTTTCTGGGGGCCTAGCTGCAGGCATTACTTGATGATTAGGTCACATTTATTATTTCTACTGGGAGAAACCCTGGCTTAGAAAGAATTTTACCACTAAACCCTTTTGCTTAGTCCATTAGTGGCTGAAGGAAGTGAGCAGCCTGATACATTTTTGCGTAACCCCTTAATGACAGGTGAGAATGGCGGCCTACACAGCATGGCCTGGAAAGGTGGCTGATTGTGGTGCTTATTTGTTCAGGTGATAGCACACTGTAATAATGTGCTGGCTGCTAGTCATTCAATAACCAAACAGCTGTGATAAAAACTGTTGACAAAGTCACAGGTCGCCCTGGAGAGCGCATTAAAAAATCATTCTAACAGTTTTATCCAAATTGTTGCAGAAACACAACATATTACAGCTCAATTCAGTTAAATTCAGTTTTGTTTAAACACCTCAAAGAGCATACAAAAGAAACATCAAGGTGTCTTAAATAAAATCAAAATGCAATCAGCATTCTTGTACACTGTTAGCACCTGCTGCAAGGTGATGTACTTGGCCACACCTCTTTGTGTATCCATTACCAAAACATCTCATGAACCGCTGGATAAAGTTTTTTATCAGAACTCGGAGCGTACTCGTTTGGTGTGCATCTCCAGCTGAATAACTGAGTTAACGTGATTTAAAATGGCTGCCACAGCCAACTTACCTTTCAGTTCTATAGACAGTGATCTAAAGTTTAGTGTGGTAGTAGCTGAGCTATGTACCCCACACATTCCTTGAGGGTACCACATTGTGCAACATTTGCATTAACTGTTAGACATAATTATGTTTGTTAGGAAAATACCCCAAAAACCATAGGAAAGATTTAAATGAAATTCTCAGTAATTATTTGTTGAACATCTGCAACTGATCAACATTTGGAGTAAACCCAATTTAAGTTGTCCACCACAGCTAATTGATCTTTGCCTACATAAAAATGGCTACACCTTATTACAGCTACACTTTAAATTCTGCAGACACTGAGGGAAATGTTGGTGTGGTAGTAGCTGACAGTTTTTCACATCATATATTCTAAGCACTGACAGATCAGGCAAGTTCGAGAGAGAGATAGCAACAATGAACCAAATTGCATATACAGTAGTCCCTCGATACTTTGCAGTTCGTATTTTGCTGACTTGCTCTATCGCGGTTTTCCAAAATATAATTGAACATGACACACAGTTGGCTGATTGATGGATGAGCTGCACAATCAGCATGGAATTTTTATTTTAAAAGAATTATTTTAAATTATTTAGCACCCGCTGCATCTCTGTGCAGCCCACACTGCAGGATAAGCTTCCTGCTGCAGCTGATCAGCTGATCTCTGTGCAGAGCAGGAACGTGGGCGTGGCCAAGAGCACTGGCAGAGAACAGCCAGAGGGAGGGAGCTGAAATCATGACATTCTGTGTGCTCTTTTAGAGCGTTTAGAAACATTGTTCAGAATATTTCAAGAGTGTGGGAAGGGTTTAAAACACCTTTATATATATATATATATATATATATATATATATATATATATATATAT